ATATATATATATATATATATATATATATATATATATATATATATATATATATATATATATATATATATATATNATAAAGTCTATGAGTCATTTTAATAAATAAATTACGGTTACGTTTTCTACTGTGACCTTGTTATCTTACAACTGATGTATTTGCAAAAATCGTTGAAAGCGCGAAATTGTACATTTTAATGGCATGTGGCTAATAGAAGCAGTGACACAAGTGGATATTATATCAGATATGTTGCATCTGATGTGGGGCAATATCATATTCAACCCCGTGAATGAGGCTGGAAGAATACAGAATTGAGAGGAACAAATGTAATGAAAACTAGGATGTTGCACGAGTTTGGTCAATACCTGTATATATATACATATATATGTATATATATCACAGTGAAAAGCACCTTTGTGCCCATGGAATCACACGGTCGCGTCAGGAGCGTTACCGTACCTCATGGATACATATGTATATGCATACTATGTAATTGTTTAATCGGCGACACAGGATAATTGTTTTTGCAAACGGTGTCCAAAGCAGTCAATTAACAAGTAAAATTGATGATTCTAAACAGTGTTTTGCGATTTACATACTATTAATGACCAAAATTTTGTCTGAATGTCATTTATGATATTTTTAGTTCCACTTAATGAATGACTAGATTGGGTACGCATAGCTTACTAGCGGTCATCACCGCAAAACCTTTTGCCAGCTTTCAGGGAAATTTCGTCCCTTCATTCACACACTATTTATTGTAACGAATGTACATAAAAATCAGTGTTGCATAAATCCTCAAATAAAAGCTATTATAAATGCAAATAGCAAATCTCACCGTATCTCCTAAGAGCATAGTCGACGTGTCCTTCATCTTCATTTCAGTGAAGAGCTTTCACATATCCAAGGTTCAACTTGCTAACCCCGTGCAATCAGTTATTTCAAGGGCAATATTGTGTTCAATGTCAGTTATTAAGAGACGATAAAATGGTGGAATTTCTGTTGATTTATGTTTCATGTATTCCGTTAATTTTCGTGTTTCTATGACACAAGTCATTTGACTGAATCTGTGTCAGACTGGTTTATGAGGGTAGATGAATCCTCCTACACTTGCGCCTACGCCGAAAACACTGTTGTTCTTCTACGAAGTGTTCTCCGGCAAACGTGTCATCCCTACCTCATGTGTGTGAATCGTTTACTCCTTGAAAACATGCAGTAGCAAAGAATTTTATGAGTTGCATGCCGTCCCTGAACTCTTGGTTACATTTGACTGGTTTTTGGTTCCTACCTCACCAATGATTCATCCGAGTGACATTTTGTCAATATCTGTGTTTATCTTGCGAGACAGAAAATAATCCTGCATTTCTCGCTTTGTTCCTCCGGTACTCCTCTTTGTGTTCTGGTTGTTGTGTTCTCATCTCAACTAACATATATATATATATATATATATATATATATATTCGCGTACATCTACCAAATCATTATGTTCCGTTTGGACGTAAGTACGTGTTCAAGTCTAAAATCTGACATAAAATAACCATGTGCGTTTCCAATTTCTACTTCTCTTTTTGATCCACAGAGGAGCGAAGTGTGTCAGCCTCACGACATCCCCTTCTCCCAGATGCGATTCACCAGCATCATCATCATCATCCTCAAAGCCATTCACAGCAACATTACCGATCGCCAAGTTTTCCGGATTTCTTTATGAGTACCGGTCCCGATATTGGTCTCAACGGTCTGGTGAATGACGATTACAAGTTTCACGTGTCCCCCGGTGTATTTTCCGCCTCACCTCAGCCAGTGTGGACAGATATGAGCCAGTCTGATCATCCGTAGTCTGGCATCGCACTGTGTCCATCCCGTTTCATACCTCTTCCCGATACCATCATTCGACCGTTCTGACCCAACTGGTCGTGAAATATATGCCAGCTATTCGTCCTACCTGCTTGCATTTGTTCCATTTTTGTCATCTGAAGAGATGTTGTATTTGTAAATCAACCAGTTGCGTTTAGAAATCTCATCTATTCCCGGAATCTGGAGATTGTTAGTCTACAGTTATTTCTTTTTTCTATCCATGATAACTTGGACATCCTCGTTTATTAGTGAATGTTGTGGACCTTCAAAAATGTTAACCACAAACGACTCGAGACCGCGATCTCGTTTTGATGAGACCATTGTCTTCTGTTAACATAAATTCTAAATCTGGTTTGTCTGTCTGCCTGCCTCTTGCATCTCCTTCCTTAGGAGTTTCACCCCGCTCAGTGGTTGTTTCATCATGTAACCTGCCACTCTCTCTCTCTCGGTCAGAAGTGCCCTAAACATTTTGTGATAAAGAAAAACCCGTGAAATAGTCGTTTCAACCCATGTGGATTGACCACCCGTCCCTTGTTTCTAACCGCTCCCACTGTCTGAGTGCAATCATTCATGTACTGTGTGTGTGAGGTTCTGTTTCTTCCTATTCCATTGTTTCATATGAATCAAGTGCAATCCGGATGGTGATTGTGATGCAGTGCAATGCAGTGGGTGTGAATTCGTTTGCCTCACCGCTCTCATTCATTCTCCTACTTATTTCTTCCACTTTGTTTCTCTGTTGCTTACCAGTTCTCTTCATCCTGACTTTAATCTGTATAATGTTTGCTTACTGCCTGACTTATTGGATAGTCTGACCTCAATATTGAACCTGTTTTTTGTTCGGACCGGTGAATGAGACCCGTTTTTTTCTTTTGTCCCTCAAGCCATCTCTATGCACGCACAAATCTGTCGCTGTAGTCATGGCGCCAGAATGCATTGGATAAAGTGGTCTCTCTAGTAGACACGACTAAGATGATGCCTCATCCCGTCACACATGTACACATAACCCTTCGGTTTTCTTGCAGAGCATTGCGTCTGTCATCAACACAATACCCGAAAACGCGCACACATGACCCAGAAGTGTGATCTAGTTCCGTCTAGACTAGACTCACAAAATGGATATGCAATATTACTGTTGTTTTCTTACGACTGAAGATCCCCACCCTTGCCTTTCCAAGTTTACACCCATTCCTTGTACATGCTGCTCTCTTTCAAGCGGTCCGAAAACCTCTTCATGTGCCATGAGATATGACGACTCCACGTGTCCAATCGTGTTTGTGGCGCGTGTTTATCACACGCGCGCCCCGTGGATGTGATTAAGTTCATTCTCCGATTTGATGAGCCTTCACAACTTGATGTGGTTAATTCTTGTCTGGGAAACATTTTTATTGTGTTTCAAAATGCTTCGCCCTCTTTACACAGAAGAGAGAACAAAGGAAACCAGATTAAAGATCTTATTCCCATTTATTAATATTATTATTCTTA